TATTTTTTCTTATGAAAAAATAGTGTTTTTTTTCTAAACATTATAGGCTAAACAAAAAAATTTTAACGTCAATACTTACCGAGATATGGAGGCATGAAATTTGCCAAAATTGAACAACATATGGTAACATCGCCGACTGCCGTCACCCGGTATTTTTCTATTTACTTTTTTATGTACTATTTTCAATTATTTTTCAATTTTTCTTTTTCTGAGTAACTTTTATGGCCTCTGAGGCCAACATGATCAGTATTTTGTAAGTTATTTCTTTTTCAATACTACACAATAAGGGCGTAAACACTGTTGTCATTATTTTGTTTACAGAAAATATTTACACAAACAAACGATATGAAATGTTGTTTATTACTATTTTTCTATATTTTATATACACATATACAGTCACAGGGAATGTTTCTAGAAGTTCTGAAGCCTGTGGAACTCTTTGAAACATGGTGTCATGCACAGTGGTGTTTTGCACTCCTCACACATAAACGAGTGTCTCTTGCATTGTTGTGGGCGTTTTTTTTTGTATGTGCACAGACGTAACACCTCTTCTGAGTCTTTTTCTTGAAAGCAGTAGCAGGCAGTTTTACCAGGAAGTGATCACCATGCTTCAGACGAGCAAGTAGTTGTTGATAATTTGGTGGGCGGTCAATTGCAGGTGCTGTTCCTTGGTACTTGAATACTATTTGTCTGATGACAGACAAACAGAATTCGCCGTACTGTGGTTTGTTTCTGGTGCTCATCTTATACATATTATAAGCATTGAGCATGGAAATGTCCAGAAGATGGAAAAACAGTTTGATGTACCAATCAGCAAACCCAATCTGCATGTCACATTTGTCCACTGAACGCATGTTGAAGGTGTAATCAATCACAGCTGCAGGTTTTAGAATGGGTTCATTTCTCTCTCTATGCTGCCTGCCACTGTCTGCCATTTCATTAGGGTGAATTGATGACAACAGTGTGACATCTCGTTTGTCATGCCACCGAAATGCCATGATGTCATTGGCAGCAAACGCCTGCACCTCACCTCTACGAGTGCCAGCGTCAAACCTGGGCATATGTTTCCGATTTGCACGCACTGTGCCACCACACATCTGTCATGTTCACTCGCAAAAAATCACTGAGTGAGGGGCTTGTGTACCAGTTATCTGTATATAATATATGCCCTTACCAAGGTATGGTTCTATCATTGTTCGAAACCACATCACCTGAGATGCCCAATAACTTCCTGGTATTTTGCAATGTATAACTTCCAGTGTACACAATAATATCCAATACCAGACCACTGTAACAATCACAAAGCACAAACAACTTTATTACCAAAGCGTTTCCTCTTGCTTGTATGTACTGCTTGAAAGAGAGTCTTTCCTTTGAACAGTATCAAAGACTCGTCAATTACAAGCTTCCTGAAGGGATAAAAATGCATACTGAATTTCTGTTTCAGATACACAAACACATTCCTAATCTTATATAACCTGTCAGTTCTGTCAGGCCTGGTTTTATCTGAGAAGTGAAGCATACGTAACATTAGCACAAATCGATTCACTGGCATTATATCACTGAAACCTGGTGTTGCAATCAGGGGGTCTGTTGACCAGTATGATTTCATTTTGTGCTTATACACATGTGGCATAAGCATTATTGTGGCAAAGAAAAGATACATCTCAGCCACAGTTGCCTCCTTCCACTGGTGTAGACGTGATTTTGGTGAAAGTAATGTGTTTGCCATGGTGTACTCGTAGTATGTGTTGCTTTCCATGACAATACTTTTCATCAGTGGTTCGTCAAAGAATAACTCGAAACATTCCAGTTCAATGGCATTGTTCCCAAGTGCACAAGATGGCCGTATTCCACTTTGGCTGCCATCAAACTGGTGGGGATTTGGAGCAAAATTGACAGCTTCCTGCCAATCCCAGGTGCGGTCTGCTGGTGGGTACTGGACAATGACAGGTGGTTGTGGTTGTGAGGATTGTGGTGTGGAGGTTGTGGTTGTGGAGGCTGGTGTGGTGGGTGAGTGGGGGATGGTGGCCTTTGTTCTAGATCAGCTGAGGCAGCGGCGTGGGTGGCAGCATGGCCCACTGCTGGTGCCTCACCGCCGGCACCACTACCACCACGCACATTTTCCATCCCAATTGCAACAGTATCTTCGTCATTTTCACTGTCTGTTCCTGTTGTACAGCCACGGGATGTACTCCGAGATACACTCCTTCCCCTTGGTATAACATATGGCACACTACCATAGCGCATATATCGTCGTATATACTGACGCTTCACTGGGGAATATTGCACTTCACTATCATACTGGAACTAGTTTGAAGAGCTTGTAGTTCATATTCACTATCACTATCATCACCCATGCTCTTCATTCGAGTCTGGGATTTGGGAAAATAGAAGTTTCCTCTTGGTCTGGAACAACTGAACGTGAACAAGAGGGCCCAGCACCAGAGGTGGAAGGTGAGGGTCGTCTGGGTTTTCCTCACTATTACGATATTATGGTCATTAGTTTCGGTCAAAACCTCACTAAAACCACGAAACTCATCTTCACTGGCACTTCCATCACTATTAGAACTGTCACTGGGGAACAAAAGTGTCCCAATTCGCCGAGGAGTGAGGACCTTCTTACCGCGAGGCATGGTGGACATTGTTTACTAAGAGGGCATTCCCACAATGCACCACTGGGTCCCAGATTTTTTCTCTACCGCGCACACCGACCACGCAGACCCATTCTCTCACACCTAGGCCTACCAGCCTTTTCGCGCGAGATTTGAGGCCGCTAGAATTTATGCGTACTAGTACGTCAAAAACTCCTACACGTAAGACGTACTAGTACAACCAAAACCCTCAAAGGGTTAAGGGTTAAAACTTCTACACTTGTGCCAGTAGTGTTAAACAGTTTGGACCCATGAATGTTGATACAATCTTCTCTTATTATGCCGATGGTACCCAGTTTTCAATGGGTTTATTTAAACACATTTTCCCATATTCCACTCGGGTATGTAGGGGAGATGTGGGACCAACCCCTCAACCCCTTCCATGTATACTTTATCGCACTCTTTTCCCCTCCGCCCAAACAATTTCATACTATTCGGGTTGAGGTTTCCCAGTAATTTTATTCCCTCTATCAGGCCATAATTTTTTATCTGATTTTCCCTTTGCCAAAAAATAGTTTGTGAATATTGAACAATACACCTAAAAAAGAAGGTAAGTACTACAGTAAATTAAAAAAAGTGTCATCATTGGCAAAATTTCCCTTTGTTTAAAAGTTCTCATTTTCACCTTGGCTTTTTCCCTGGTTTCAATTTGTATTTTTTAAGTTGCACTTTAGTACAGATGCCATATCGTGTTCCCTCATTATCGTCGTTAATCCGTTCCTGGAAGGGGCACAATTATCGAAATAGAAAATTTTTTTTAATAAATTTTCCCCTAAGAAAAAATGTAAATACAATTAATTTTCCCTGACCCCCCGGGGATATTAAAACAAAAAACAATTTTAACAAAATTAGATTAGTACATAAACAATACAAGGGGGACATGATAAATGAAACATTAAAAAGCATAACACTTACCTTTATTTGGGGATTCTTCTTGTTATGGAAAACGGGGGAGAGAGACTGGATTGTTACTCTTTGGAAGGGAAAAACCCCTTCCTCAACACCCCAGGTCCCAAATCCTTTCTGGGGCTACTATTTTCTTCTTTTTTCTTAATGCCACTAGGAAGCTTGAGAGTCGCTAGGCCCCGTCTCGCAAAAAAAAATGTCCAGAGCTGTTTTGGCGTCTCTTTAAAATTCCCCAAAAGGGCCAAGATTGTCACTGTACAAGTTTTTTTTTGTATAGCTTGCAACATCCTTTTCGGGTTTTGTTTCTCCATAAATTTTCCATCCTCCCCACATTTCAAAAAATTTTCCTTAATTTCTGAAAAAGGCACCTTCTTTCCCTCTCTCTTCCCCCTCCTCTGCAAAAAAAGATTCGAGCGCAATTGTTGCGTTCCTGCTGAAACTTTGAGTCCTCAGTGGTTAGCTCTTCGTTGGGCCTCCACCAACTCTTCCCCATCCAAAACCACATCCCAACCCATGGAACTCCCAAGCCACAAAAAATTTCACAACTGACATAGGCTACAGGGTTGGGCCCAAAACCTTCAAAAACCATCTTTTGACACAATCGGCCCAATTTTTTCAGTAACAACACTTCCTTGATTTCCTTTTTCTTTGCCCCGATGGAAGATATGGGTTTTTGGGTTTGTTTTTTCATCCTGGCCATTGGGCCCCACTATGCCACTTTCATATTGTTCAATGTGTTTTTCTTAAATTCAATCATATTTCTCACCTTCTTTACCAAAGGCTTGGCACTAGGAGCTTTCTTTGGAGCCATGGTAGCTTATTTAGCACTTGCAAGCACTAAAATGAATGGAATATTATGAAATATTTCATATGAACAAGTGAGGGGACCGTCGCTCACTGGTAAACAATGGCACACTGGCTAGGAAGGGAGGCTGAGGCGGCTCAGAGCCATGAGTATGTGTCCAGGACGAACGACGATTGGCAAGTCAACTGACCATTTGCGAGCCAATGTTTGGACGAAAATAATGCGACGATTTCCGAAAAGGACGACTATTTAGCCCGACAATTATCGAGGGACCACTGTAGTATAGGTGCTACAAGTATGACATAGGTGCTACTTTAATGGTACTGGTGCCAAATTTATAGCACAGATACAACATGTATGGAATAGGTGATTCAGTGGCTCATGGCTTAATAGCAGTACCTTCAATTCACATCTGAAGGATCTAGGTTTGATCCTCAGTAGGTAGAAACATCGATATATTTACTTACAGCTTAAGCCCCTGTTCAACTGGCAGTAAGTACCAAGGTGTTATTCAACTGTAATGGGTTGAATCCATGGAACAAAATCAAAACACTGACTGGCTTTCTTTGGTTATCCAGAATTACAGTACTAGCCTTTTAAGATAATAATCTTTTTCTTAGGTGCTCCCAAAGGAAAGAATTACTGGAGGGTTAATAACAAGCTCTCACCTGACTTTGACTAATACAAAGAAAAAACTTACTAAATGACAATGTATGAGATATGCGCTGAGCATACATGTGCCACGAGACTTTGATCAGGACAAAGTTAACCACCAGAATAATGATGAGAGCCCTCAGTACATGACCTTGCAGTGGTGTCAATCCCAACCACCACAAAAAATTTATCCAGCTGGTGAATGCAGTTTCTGAAATTTAAAATAAAATTTAAAATTCAAACTGTTGGAAAGTTAATCTTAACCGAGAATAAATTATTTAAAAAATAGAAAATGTATAGCTGTCAGAAAATAGTTTTTATCAATATGCACTATAAGCATCAAAGTAATATTGCAAGGCTACCAAACTATGAGCAAAGGTCCATTTGGACAAGTATCAATATACGCAAAGGTCCAAATACATTTTTTACATGCAGTCATGAAAAGCAACAAATCCGAGTATAGGGCAGTGTAGTCATCATTTTCTACGAATTTCATTTTCAGTCCTCATCTTATAAAAATTTACAAAATATGAAAATAAATAGTGGGAAAATTTTTTTTACATTATATCAAACAAGTTCGGGATTTTTTTTACCCAAATTGGTTTAAATGGAGTTTTAAAACTGAAAAATTAATATATATACTGATTAACAGAACAGTAGCTGCAAGGAATTCAAAGACTAACCCAAAAGGGTTCTTTCAGGTATGCAGAAGTAAGATTAGGGATAAGATAGACCCACTTAAGAGTAACTCAGGTCAGATCACTGACAGTGATAAGGAAATATGTGAACTTTTCAACACTTACTTCCTCTCAGCTTTTACTCAGGAAAAATACTAGCAAAAATTCCAGAAATAATAAATTATGTAGAAAAAGGACAATAATAAACTATGCACGATTGCAGTAACTAGTGACATGGCCCTCAGACAAATAGAGAAATTAAAACCTAACAAATCTCCCTGATAAACTGTTTGCAAGGGTTTTAAAGGAATGTAAAGAGGAACTTTAGTATACCTTTGGCTAATCTTTTCAATATATCACTACAAACTGGCATAGTGCCAGACAAGTGGAAAATGGCAAATGTAATAATACCTATTTACAAGGCAGGTGACAGGTCCTTAGTTTCAAACTATAGACCAATAAGCCTTACCTCCATAGTGGGAAAATTTATGGAATCAATAATTGCTGAGGCAATTCGTAGCCATCATGAAAGGCATAAATTGATTAATGAATCTCAGCACGGTTTTACCATATTCATGGTATTGAATATGATATTGTGTATATGGACTTCGGTTAAGGCTTTCGATAGAGTTCCACATCAGAGGATATAGAGGAAACTTAAGGCACACAGAATAAGATGAGACATTATTTCCTTGGTAGAGGCATGATTGACAAATAGGGAGCAGAGAGTTTGCATAAATGGAGAGAAATCAGACGGGAGCACGTCACAAGCGGTGCTCCATAGGGGTCAGTGTTGGGCCCCTTGTTCACAGTTTTCATAAACGACACAGATGAGGGAATAAATAGCGACATAAGCAAATTTGCTGACGACACCAAAATAGGCCGTCCAATTCATTCTAATGAGGACATTAAAGCATTCCAGGTTGATTTGCATAGACTGATGCAGTGGTCAGAGAAGTGGCAGATGCAGTTTAACCCTTTGAGGGTCAGTCACGTACATGTAAGTCTTAACAGCCAATGTCGGGGCACGTACTTATACGCCAAAATTCTAGCACCTTCAAATCTGGTAGAAGAAAGCTGGTAGGCCTACATATGAAAGAATAGGTCTGCATGGTCAGTGTGCGCAGTACAGAAAAAAATCCTGCAGCAAAGCAGTGCACGAGAAAAAAAAACTAAGTTTTTTATTTAACCCCTTGACTGTCGCAACCACAAATCCTGAGGTGTCTCCTGGTGTTGCAAAATTTTTGAAAAAAAAAAAAAAAAAAAAGAAAAAAAATTATTTTTTCTTATGAAATGATAGAGAATCTTTTCCCGATTGTAAGGACACCAAAAGAATGAAATTTGATGGAAAACTGATGGAATTACGCACTCGCGAAGTTAGCAACCGCAGCGATATTTACGAATTGGCGATTTCGCCCAGTTTGAGCCCTATTTTCGGCTAATTCCAGTCATCCAATCAAACTCATAGCTATTTCTTTAGAACTCCATTTTTTTTCTATCGACTGAGTACAAGAAAATGCCCATTTACCGATTTCAACTACCCACTAACATGGTCAGAAATTTGCAATTTGACCAATTTCACGAAAATTTAAAAAATATGACAATATCAAAATGGGGTCCAGAATGAACAATGCAGACATTCCTGGCTCTAAAATAACATTTTCTTTGTTCATCAGTCATGTCTCCAGGCCCCTCTGATATTACTCTTACTTTCTATTTTGAATTTTTATTCCCCCAAAAAATAGAAGATTTACTGTTATGTAGACTACTGCAATATTGTAATAATTGTATAAATAATGTCAACCCATTCATGACTGCATATTAGAATGGCTAGTTGGACATTTATTGGAAAATGACATCATTTGTTTAGTTTTGAACATAAGCAAAAATCAAACATTTCCCCTACCTTGAGCTCCATTTCAAGGTTCTTTTCATAGTAAAACCAATCAAAATCACCTCTATTTCTATAGTATGTTTTCCATTCTATCAAATGAGACCACGAAAACGAGAATACAACCATAAATACAGTGGACCCCCGCCTTATGATATTAATCCGTTCCCAAGAGCTCATCATGAGCTGAAATTATCGTTAGCCAAATTAATTTTCCCCTAAGAAATAATGGAAATCAAATTAATCCGTTCCTGACATCCCAAAGTATGAAAAAAAAAAAAAATTTACCACATGAAATATTAATTTTAATACACACAAACTGAAGAAGACATGCACAATTACTACTCTACTAAGAATAGAATACATGACACTTACCTTTATTGACGATCTGGTGATGATTGATGGGATGGGAGGAGGGGAGAGAGTGGAAGTTATTGTTTAGAAGGGGAATCCCCTTCCATTAGGACTTGAGGTAGCAAGTACTTTTTTGGGGTTACTTCCCTTCTTCTTTTAATGCCACTAGGACCAGCTTGAGAGTCACTGGACCTCTGTCACACAACAAATCTGTCCATAGAGCTCTGTACCTCCCATTCCTTTAATACTTTCCTAAAATGGGCCATAACATTGTCATTGTACAGGTTGCCAACACAGCTTGCAGTAGCTGTGTCAGGGTGATTTTCATCCGTAAAGGTTTGCAGTTCAACCCACTTTGCACACATTTCCTTAATCTCTTTTTTCAATTTCATACTAATTCTCGCCCTTTTTACCACAGAGATGGCACTAGAAGCTTTCTTGGGGTCCATGGTGACTTATTTTGCAATTACAAGCACTAAAAACACTGGGATAATGTGAAATGTACCGAATGTATGCATAGATGCGATTGCACTGGCTGGCTTGTAAACACTGGCGCTGAGGCCACACGTGGGACGCGTCCCGGATGAATCACATAAGGCGAGTTTTTTATCGTGAGGCGAGGCAAAATTTTTGTGTTCAAATGTTTCATATTGCGGATTTAACGTAACGCGATGCATTCGTAAGGTAGGGATCCACTGTACTATACGAAAATAGACCACAAAGTCGGCATTCTAATTAAAAAAACGGTCGGAGTTTTTTTTTTCTCATTATGCACTGCGTGCTGCAGGATTTTTTTATGGGGAATATATAATAGCTAAATTCAAATCCAAATACCTACAAAAACCTCTCACATTGATAAACATCTACAGAGTTCCACAGTCAAACATTAGCCAATTTAGTCAAAATCTAGGAAGTATGATAACTGATGCACGCATGAACAAAGATCACTTACTACTCTCAGGTGACTTCAATATAAATCTCCTGCAAGACCAGGACCCACACGTTACTGAATTCACAAACACAATGAGTAACCGTATGTTACTACCAACAGTAACAAAACCTACAAGAGTTACAGAGACTAGTGTTTCCCTACTTGACCACATTCTGGACCAACACCATATCCCCTTTAAAATCAGGCATAATTACAGATAATACCACAGACCACTACCCTACTTTCCTCATAACAACTCTTGGTAAACTACCCCAAGACACTACTAAAGTCACCTTCAGACTTCACAATGAGGCAGCCATTAATAACTTCACAACAGCATTAGCAAACATTGATTGGCACACTGAGCTAGAAATCTATACAGATATTGACGAATGTATTAATAATTTTCTAAAAAAGACCCAATACCTCTATAACAAGCACTGCCCTAAAAAAACTAAACAGATGACAGCAAAGAGACTGAACAGTCCTGGCTAACACCCAGCATTCTCAAATCCATAAATACAAAACACCAATATGAAAAACAGTACAGAATGGGTCACATAACCAGAGACCAAACAAAACGTTACTCGTCAATCCTAACCAGCCTGATAAGAAGGGCAAAAAAATTGTATTATGAGAACAGATTATCCAACTTACGAGGTGATATAAAAAAAGACCTGGAAAACCCTATCAGAAATTCTGGGAACAAAAAAGATATCACGAAATAGCGAAATAAAATTAGCAAAATCAGATGAACCCCAACTCCCACCAACAGAAACAGCAAACAGACTCAATGATTTCTTCTCCACTATAGGACAAAACCTTGCCAATAAAATCCCAAGCTCAGATACCCCACCAAATGACTACCTCACCGGCAACTACCCGAACACACTGTTCCTAGCTCCGACTAACCCATACGAAGTCTCCCTTATTATCAATGCACTAAAAAACAAGGCAGGAGATTTAAGTACCTTACCACCCTTTATATAACAAAAAAGTGTCACAAGTGCTATCTCCAATCATTGCAACACTCTTTAACAAATCCATCGAATCCTCCACCTTCCCTACAGTACTCAAAATAGCAAGGGTCACCCCGATCCACAAAGGAGGAGACCAAACAGAGTTGAATAACTATAGGCCAATATCCAACTTACACCCTCTCTCAAAAATCTTCAAAAAAATTAATTCATAAACGAATCTACTCCTACCTATATCTCCCAAAACATACTCAACCCCTGCCAATTTGGTTTCAGGCCTAATAAAAATACTAATGATGCTATTATACACATGCTAGAACATATATACACTGCAACGAGAAAAAAGAAGTCCCACTGGGGATCTTCATTGACTTACGTAAA